TTTCTGGAATGTTATTGTAATATATGTTATTTACAATAATAGCAGCAGCAGCTACTTTTTTTTTTTTTTTTTGGTGAGACAGAGTCTTGCTTTGTCCCCCAGGCTAGAGTGCCGTGGCATCAGCCTAGCTCACAGCAACCTCAAATTCCTGGGCTCAAGCAATCCTCCTGCCTCAGCCTCCCAAGTAGCTGGGACTACAGGACGTGGCACCGCACCTGGCTAGTTTTCCTATTTTTAGTAGAGATGGGGTCTTGCGCTTGATCTCGAACTCCTCAGCTCAAACAGTACCCCCCGCCTCAGGCTCCCAGACTGCTAGGACTGCAGGCATGAGCCATGTGCCCGGCCTTGTATTTGTTTTATAACAAGGAAAACTTTTAATTATTTTTAAATTAAAAAAAGATTAGAAAACTCCATGTATACTACAACGTCAACCATATTTAAACCACCTAGAAGACTGAGGAAAATTTTCCAAAACGTTAATTTCTGGATGGTAAAATATGAATTTTTTTTGTATATGCCCAATATTCCATATTAAGCATGTTATTTTTATACTGGGGTGATGGAAGGAATGGTGTTCCCAAAACAAGATAAAAAAGTTATTCTCCCATCTAAAACTCTTGAGATAGAACAGCCTTTCCCTACCCCTCTACCTCTAAGGGACAAATAACAAAAACACCTACAGGCATCAAATGTCCTTTAAAGAAAAGGCTTAATATTCAACATTGTCTCCCAACATAACTTTGTTAAAAACCATGAAGGACCAGAAACATTCCACTTTCTATTGCCTGTTCAGAAGTTGCTATGAAAAAAACTGACCAGTGAGAAGCCCTGCTGCATTGGCAGGCATGATGCCTGAGGGCCAAGCAGCAGACCATGGTGATTTATTTCCTCTCATTCTTCTGAAGATGGGGAGAGTCTCTGAGGACCAGCTGATACTGGTGGTAGAGTGCCAGGAAGGATGTTTCTATTTTTCAAACATACCTTAAGTAGCTCAGTATTTAAGAACTCAGGGTAGATGACTATGCAACCCCCAGAGGTAGATATAGGCCAGACTTTTCTCCCTATCATATCCAGGTCAGTACCATAGTCATCACCTACCTCTGACTGTTGCTCAGGAAGCTTCATATTGTCAAAAATCCGAAACACGATTCTGAACAGGTCCTGCCACCAGTGCTTTTCAAAGGTATGGCCATAGCTCTTCATGATCTCAAACATGACTGTGAGTCCTCTGGAGGTAACAAAGTCAGGCACAGAAGAGACAATGGGTGGGGGAAGAGAACAACAGAGAGTTGGAGAGAACAGGGCCAGATGAGCAAGTGATTGAGGCTCATCTTAGCCATGTAAGGGGCCACCGCACTAGGGGCATGGTTACCTTGTCCGTACGTCTAACTTGCATCTATTAATGATGCAGGAGAGCTCAAATAAGATGGGGAACCAGCCTCGGACCCAGACTCTGTCGGCAGGAGCTACATTCATGTCATCACTTGTGTATTCTTGCAGCACCTAGGATGGAAATCACACCTCAGATGTAGGTTAAGCATGCAAAAGGAAAGAACTGAAAGGGAACTGTATAAATTTTAAGGCCCCACGCATATTCCTCTCCTAAAAATCTCCATTAAGCAAGGGTACAGTGAGGGCAGAGGACACAGAGACATTACCTGTCCCAAAAGGCACATGAAAAATTTCCCACTATAAACTTTGTGGGCCTTTGTGGATTTTAGAACAAGTTGAGCGGGATAGGTCACAAGGGTCCTGGGGGTGCGAAACGTTACATTAAGAACACTAAAGGTCAAACGGTGTTGGCAAATATCCAGGATGATTCATTACCTTAGGTCTTTCTGGAATGTTATTGTAATATATGTTATTTACAATAATAGCAGCAGCAGCTACTTTTTTTTTTTTTTTTTGGTGAGACAGAGTCTTG